GTTGGACCTTACTTTGTTAAGGAAATCACAGCACTATAAATGTGCTATATCAGAAATCTGTCTGATAAAATGATCCCCCCTCATGTCAATGCAAGAAATTTTACTTGGACCATAATAAATGACCTGAAAGCTAGATTATACCTTACAAGTCCCTCAAGCCACATCAAGCTAATTCTAACGTATCAGGCAGAAATCTTTCACAGTATCTGCTCCAGTCCCTTTAATTATAAATATTTGGGAATTTGGAGTTTGTATTATTTATTGCCCAAAGAAAATAATTTGTCAATTATTTTGTTCATTAACAAGAATCAGGTTAGACTATAATGTACACTTTCCTGCCTACTTGTCAAGTGAGCAAATAATTATTTCATTGCTTGTATGATTAGATGGCAATTACTTTAGTATAGATCCAATATGTGCTCTTGACAAATGACTTGAAATACAGATTGTATTCGAAGGCTGTAATTGGGCCCTATAATTGGATCCTGAAGATGAAACTCAAATATTTTGGCTACCTAATGAAAAGAAAGGCCCCACTGAAGGAGAGCCTTATGCTGGGAAAGATTGAGGGCAAAAGAAGAATGGGACAACAGAGGATGAGGCAGGTGGATGGAGTCACTGAAGCAATAGGTGTGAGCATAAATGGACTCCAGAGGATGGTAGAGAACAGGAAGGCCTGGAAGGACGTTGGCCATGCGGTCACAATGGGTCGGACACAACTTTGCAACTAACTACATTGGGTAATATGCAATGGTTATGTATTCTTAATAGCAGAAGGCTTTCTCTGTAGGATCTTTGCACCCTTGTCATAATTTTTATACTGCAGACCTTAATCTTTTAGATGGGGATGTGAAACTGGTGGTCCACAGGCCAAATATGTCAAGCCCAGGCCACAGGCTACCCCTGCTCTGCGAATGGGAAAAACGTAGCAAAACATCATGTGAAGTAATGTGACGGTGAGTTTGACATCCATGTTTTAGATTACTTCCTCCATACTGTCTGATCCTGGGTAGGGTAAAACAGAAGAGCAATGGGTTGTCCAAGATCACCCAGGGACATCATGATGTAAGACAGTTCAAGCACACACAATGAAACATCCGTTTATGGTAGACGTTAAGTAAATACCCAGAGACATAATTTGTTAATATGATTTGTATTTTGAAAAGCATATCAAAAAAAGTTTTAAGTGTAACATTTTGCTTTTACAACTATTTTTTTGTATTGCTTATTATTCTGACATACAAATTGCTTGCTAGCTCTCATAAATATGCTAAACAATGATATATACAGAAATCAAAACAATTTAATTTGTAAAGGACTCCATTGTCAACTGTATTCTTGTTAAACCAGAGTATTTTATATATGCCAATAATGTTAGATAAGTACAAGTATGTCCCTGAGAAGTTAGGCAAATAACCTTAGCTTGGACAATCTTTCTGTTACCTTCAATGCAGATTGAAAAACAATGGTCTGAAGAGACTAACATTTGAAGAATTAAACCAACCACATCAGGGCTGCAAAAGTACAAGCAACGGCTAGTAACAGCCAGCAGTTTTATCTTATAGTGCCATCACAATTATCCAAACCTGTGCAGGAGAGATGTAAGTAGCCTTTTCTTTTTATCTTGAGAGTGCCTTTGTCCCTAACAATGTAAAAAGAACTTAATAAATAGACTATGCAAATAAATAGTAATTGCTACAAAGGTTAGTATTTACAAATTGTTTGCTTTTATAGTCATCCAAATGTTCATTTATAGTGCTCAATACACTCCAAGAAGTCTTACATTATTTTGCAACTGTGCCTTTTTGTATATCTCGGAGTTTATTCCCTCCCCCTTTTTTTAAATTGCTATTTGTGCTCCTCTTATGGGGCTTATAGCTCTTACAGCAGTTTGGGGACCAATTTATACTGCAATCCTATGCAAGTTTATTGAGGAATAAGTGCTATTGTATTCAGTGGGGTTTACTCTAAAGCATAAGAAACAACTGTAAAATTTTGATTCTAATCTTCTTCTGAAGCAAGCAAGACTTGGAGTGTACACAAAAGACTCGATGCAGGGACTGTTTCTTTGTTATGACAACACTATAACTTAAGGATCTCAAGGCTGACCGTCATTGTCTTAGAGTTGGCCTCCTTTCAGGAGAAAGTTACATGAATGTATCAGGAGTAGGATAAGATGGAAATTATACACTACATATCTGTCTTCTGCTTCAGAGTCCTCAAATTGTGGCAAATTGTATTCTTTTTTTCCCCTGAACATAACCTTGGAGAGAAAAATATTCATTTTTACAATCTACAATCAGAATGCACTTCCACAGAAATGCAATTATCTAGTTATTTAGTTCTAAAATAACAAATGAAGTTACTGAACTTTAAAAAAACTGCTTAGTAAGTAATACGTTATTGCCATAAATCAATATATTTGTTTTCCCTTGTTTTAATATAGCTTAAATTATCTAAAGTCCAGTTGACTGCTATATAGTCTTGCATAGGTAACATGAGACCCAAATTATAACCCATAGCTTACTTTTAGGAAATATTTGGCTCATAATTCTGAATGGTCCCTTTGGCTGAATAATGACCAAGATGCCACTGAAATGAAGAAGTCAAGTAATGCTGCTTAATACATTTGGCACCAGACAGTCCAGCTCATGAGGTTTGAAAATAGTCCAGTTTTTGCTTTACTTCATTAAACATTCAGCTTGCTTATTAAAAGTAGTGAACAGTTTTCAGAATGTTAGCAAATCAGAAAAGCCAGATTTGAATTCCTATTAATCTTCTGTAGTCTTAAGACTGCAATTGCATGAAGCTGTTAATGGATCTGTAAAGGCAAGACAATATCTAGAAATAAGAATCAGCCACCCCATGTACACATCATTAGTTTTTTAATCTACTAGTCCTTCCCTGCAAATCTCACTTTTTTCAGTTAATTTATTCTAGAACTACAAATGTAGAAACTTTATTTTATAAATTTAAACTCAACCACTTAACAAACAGAGGCTCATCCTAATACATGGATTAAACAAAAGCTCTAATTCTTCTCTCCAAATATATCCTCTTAAGTGGTGTTATGAAACAATACAAATTACAATGCCTTTTCCCAAAATGTTCAATTCCATTCCTAAAGGTGTGGTTTGTTTGTGCGCATAGAAAGCTTATTTACAATAGTTGAGACTTCTCCAACTGCAAATGCTATTTTTGTGTGTGGATAAAAATAAAGCTTATAACATATTTTTACAACAACTCCTACTGCCAAACCAAACAGTTACTCTTCAGTTAACAAACATACTGCTTCTTCAGCTAAGTTGCTATAAGAAAAACATCCTGAAAATTCCTAAATAATTTGTCTATGCTGTTTCTAATTTTTCAACTACTTAAGAAAATAATGTGATGATTTCTATCAAATAATTCTAGAACACATTGAATAACCAGTATAGTAAGTTCAGAATGTAAATTGTTCTCTTTATATTATACCTGTACAGGGTTTTCAATTTTATGAGAAAGGCCAAATCTATTGGAAAAACTCTCTACTTCATTGCAAGCAAACAAAAAACATTCGTTATCACTTAAAACTGATTTTGTCTGCAACAATAATCAATCTTCTATGAAGGATCTTGTGTAGAAAAGATTCTTGAATAAATGTGATCTAAGGCAGTACAACAAAGAAAATAATTCAGATGTTTTCAAAAGGGAGACCTAATTTTTAACACAGTCTCTCTTGTCTATCAGAATGGTCCTGGGATACTATAAAAGTCTATTTTGTATAAAGCTGCATATAAATAATTTTCACAGTGAAATGCATTCCTTTACGCACAGTAGAATACATTCTATTTACTGCATTATTTAGGCAATTTCTTGAGAATACTTAATAGAAGAATAAAGAAGACATTCTGAAGACAGGAATAAATTGCAAACATGATTTCAAGAATGTAAGCCTAGTTTTGATATCTCAACGTGAAAACTGAGGCACAAGAATTATTACACCAAAACTTTCACTTTTAAGTCACATGTTCAAATTACATTCAAATACATTGCAACAAATATGTGATTGTCTCACATATTTGTCGCAGAGATTTTAAATCTTTGTCTTCAAAAGACCTTTTTTTAAAAAAATCATAATTACCATGATGCATCCAGAATGAAAATGCAGATTAAAACAGTTATGCAAGTGTCATACAAGTTGCTAGAAAGTGTTACTCGTGAAATCAGAATTTAGTTTTCTGTGCTGCATTAGGCTGTGACTTTGACAGCATAATTCGTCCTTATAGCAACTTGAATGAAAGTCTGCTGTCAATGTGAAACCCCCAAATCTTCACCTTTTCTCTTTTGTAATTGCCCCTAGACGAAAGAATGCTAACAAAAAATTTTCTCAGACAGACTTTGAGAATCATCCATTTCATTTCTAATGAAAGTTCTCTTACGGTAGAAGCCTCCTCATCTTGTAAACTGGAATTCAACTTCAGTTTTTAAACTTGCAAGGAAAAAACAACAATATGTCTGTTTCTCAAAGTATAATTCCTCTATAGTCAGATTCATGAATTTAGCTTAATATGTTGTATGAACTTTTTTTTCATTTTGTTTGTAAATTATATTTATGACTGATAAACAAGTTCAGATTTAATAGCTATAAATTATACCACTTTGAATGTTAATAATGGCAGTGCCGTAGCACTTTTACTTTCATTTTTTAAAAAGTAATTGTGAGGATTCCACTGTAATTTTCCAAGTTGCAAGCAACAGCCCCACATTATGATAGTTTGCCTTGTTACCAATTTAGTGCTGTTTAGTGCTGCAATAAACTTGCACCAGTCTGAAGATAAGAATAATTAGTAGCAATAGCAATAGCAATAGCAGTAGACTTATATACCGCTTCATAGGGCTTTCAGGCCTCTCTAAGCGGTTTACAGAGAGTCAGCATATTGCCCCCAACAATCTGGGTCCTCATTTTACCCACCTCGGAAGGATGGAAGGCTGAGTCAACCCTGAGCCGGTGAGATTTGAACCGCTGACCTGCTGATCTAGCAGTAGCCTGCAGTGCTGCTTTTAACCACTGCGCCACCTTGGCTCTTTTTCTAGTAATAGCACAATGAAGAGAACACAGAAGTAAAACTATATTCATTGAAATAAAGCTATAGGCAAGACACTGTTGTGACATTGCTTGTCTCTAATACTATTACCATATTAAGGAAAAGACCAAAAAAATTGAAGTGGTTCTAAAGTTTAAAAAGAATTACCCATAAGAAGTATTAAAGGCAGAGTGCTCTAAATTCTAATCCAGCATGAAAGCACATCATACATTACCATAATTAATGCTGTGATATTTTACTTTATTAGGCAGCACATTGTGGAATACTGTACAAGATGTTAAATCAAGTATTAACTGTGCTTGTTTTAAATTTTACATTTTGATAAATTGTTTTAGGTATCTATATTTTAACAATTTGTCTTTCTTTAGATTTAGTCTTAAAGTGGATGCCACCACATATCTTGGGGATGATTCATCAATACCTGCCCTATTACTTTTTTTTTTTTTTGGCACCACAGTCAACATTTTAGGACAGCTTATGATTAGTGAGGTATATCCCCATGTGCCAAATTATGAACACCTTTCTCAAAACAGTGCTGCTAGACCTTATAAGGTCTTATTTCAATTTAACACTGAGTTGGGACTGAAAGCTATTTTGAACAAAATAATTCAAGAAAAATGAGCTTTTTAATATGGCGAATCATTTCTTCATTTTGTAGCTAAGTAGATTTGGCATTTTTCTTCTTGTAAGGTTGTTGTGAAGATCGTTTCCTCTTGCTTTGCATGAGAGGCCAACGCGTACTGTGGCACCAATTACTGATAAAACTCAGTAATCATCAATTTCTTAGGAAAACATAATGCTTGGCACATAAATATTCACTGAACTGAAAGTGCTGGAATTATGTAAGTATGAATTCATATACGAGGTTCTATCCTGTGAGAAAGCTCAAATAACATCTGTTGGTTGTCAATGATATGCAAATGATGGACATAGGACTTCAGCTCCTCATGCTCTTTCGAGGGTATATCATTTCCTACAGTTTTGACAAGAGAAAAACAATAGATCAGTGAACTCTGCAGCATTTTTCTGAGGGCATATTTTGAAGTTTAATCAACAATTTATCTTAAGGGACTCCTGAACTTCACATTTTTTATTTGTAGAAAATAATGGAAATTTTCTAATGACTTCTAATTTCATAGTGGCCTACAAATACTCTTTTCATATGATTTCTACATTAACAAAGAATATAAAGTAGGCATGTTTATATGTGAAGGCTTGTCAAGCATGAACAAACTTTTCACCATGAACTAAGATAAAACTGCATCACAAAAAATCTATAAAGATTATATTGAAAAAGCAATTCTCCAGATCTTTTCATTATATGCTGATTCATGTACTAGATAAAACACTCATGATAATGGAAATGATTTGGTGCAAATTAAAAATATTAACAAAACTATTTATGTGAATATATATTATTTTAATTGCTTGACATTTGTTTTATTCCATGATTTGCATGTATTCTGTGTATGTGTGTTTATGTGTAAAAAATATGGGAAGCCAAACGTCATGAATTTAATGCCCATCAGCCATATTGGAATTGGGAATATGGTGGGATTGGCTGCTAATGGATATTGGAAATTGAAGTTTAAATTCCAAAATGAATTATTAGCTTATAATATTAATGTGATAAAAATAATTATTAATACAAATGAGATAATCATATTATTTCTTTTTAAGTGTAATTTAAATAAAACCAAAAGTTTTTATAACTCATATATTAATCTTAAGAGTATAGCCACCAATAAAAAAAGTTTGTCTTTAGGGCTAAATAAATTTTGTATTCCTGCTCTAGTAAGTAATAACAAAAACACAGAGAAGGTAGGCTCTGATTCCCAAATGTTTAAGACAGATGTATGAAGGAGATGTGGGGAACCTCCCAAAATATCATTCACTTACCAAATTGGTTACGCCTACAATGCCTCAATGATCGGACTGTGTCAGCAATCATGTGCTGTGAAGATAAAATACATAGATTAACAAGCCAATAAACATTTAAACTGGGAATAACCAGTATGTATAAGCTCCATTATGAGGTCAGGAGGCATCAGTTATAAAATGGAAATCTGGATTCTATTTGCTCCAGGAATCCCTATACTGATTATTTCAAACATTAACTCATGGTTGCAGATTTTATTACAGGAGCTATAAGATATCATTTCTATTCTGCCTTTTGTGGGCATTTGTGGGGGAGAGGTGGCTGAACAGGCATCCAAACTTTGGTTTTTCCAAAAAATCCTCTAACTCCCATTCCTTTCAAAAGAAGAGTAGTAATTCATATTAGAATTAGAAAATATTTTAGCCAGCAAAAAGTAGGCAATATTGTATCAGAAATTGAAGAAACTATGAAATCTACCCAATATATCTAGGAAATGGAGTTAATAGTTTTTTTGAACAAAAAAAGGATAAATTTTTAATTTAAAATTTAAATCAGTTTAAAAGAATGAGTGCTGTGCCATTTTTTTCCTAGGTAGATCACAAAGATCTATACGTTATCAAACAGAAAAAAAGTATACATGTATGATCAGATGTCAGGCTGATCTCAACTGATACATCTCTATTAATATTCACTGATTTATTCCTGGAGAAAAAAATGTATTTTTCTACAATTGTTATTCAATCACAGTTAATCAATGTGGCCAAATAATTTAATTTATAGAGCAATGAACAGATAGGACTACAAATTAGCCATATAGAAGCATATAGAATAAAAAGACAAAATGCCTAACTTCCTAAAAATAATATTTTCCTACATTAATGTAAACTAACAAAACCATAATTATTGGTTCTGTTAATTATGCAGATGTTTTCACTTCTTCAAATGTCTGCCTTCTATTTATATATAATTATCTAATAATCCTTGTTATAAACATTTACTCCAACCAATAAAAATATGAATATTTCTGCAAGAGAACAAACCCATGCAAAACAGAGAACTAAAAATAAAAGCAATGTCCAGGTATTTTATTTTGTGTATTAAAGGAAGTATATAATTAGGAATAACACATAGTGATCAATTAACAATGTGTGAAATTTATTAACTAAGCTTGAATATCAAGTTAATTATTTTATAGGGGAACTACTCAGTGAATTCCCCCTGAGCTGAAGCAAAGGGAATTAAATTCAATTTTAATTTGAAGAAATAAGAGTAAGAAGAAAGGAGGATGAGCAATAATATAGAAAAGGTAGTTTGTATTTTTATTGTTGAATTTAGTGGGGAATGATACATACCAGCTTTTCAAAATTTACAAGGTTATCCAGAAATGTTTTATTTCCTTCATGTATAAATGTTACATCTAAAAAAAGACAGATATATTTTTCAACTTAATTTTCCATGTCTACACAGTAACAATAATAAAACCCAATGGTAATTGTTACATTCTCATGCATAAGTAAGCATTCAGAAAATTTACTTGTGATAAAAAAATTAAAATATCCCAAACTGTTCAATTTTTTGACTTCTAAGTGAAATATTTGAAATCATCAAATATGCATAAGGTAGTTTTCTGAGAACATAACCTAATGTGCATCACACTCTAGTTCTTGGTGGTTACTCTTCTTCTGTAATCTAGTGATTAGCATCATCAAATTTTGCATTCCCCATTGTCAGTAGAATCAATACAACCACACCACAATATCTAATAAATACTGATATTTATTCCTCTTTTATACTACCACCCAGTCGTATTCAAACAGGTGCACTTTGGACATAATTTTCATTCGTAAAAGCTCAGCACAATTAAGTTAGGGAGGTGACTGTTTGCTTGCTATCCCTCTGTCCCCTTTTCCACAATGACTGGCATTTTTCTCTCCTGGAATTTATATTGTATTATGATATCCTAATACATATGATATATATCTTTTCATCAGCTGTTGTATTATTGTCAATGTTAATAATGAAAGCTTTAACAGCTGTTAAAAATTGTTCAAATCAAGATACAAATAAAAGCTTTGAAAAGACTTAGAAGTTGAAATAAGGAATTTGCATTGCTTACTACATTACAAGTAGAAACAAATTCTGTGGAGCAGAAAACTGCCTCTGAGCTATAGTATAAGAGCAGGATAAATAAACTAGAGTTAAAAAGCAATTAATTGTGATTTTATTATAGAAATTTGATTAATTTAAATGCTGTACTACAGAACTAATAATCTAAAAAGGTAGCTCAATTTTCCTTTTAATATTATTTGTAAAAATATTAGGAAAATGGGAATACATTTTACTATAAATCAATAAAGCTGATTGAGTAGCTGTGTAAGATTCAAAAGGGGATCCTCCCAGTTATTCAAGAAGACCAAATCTGAAATTGAATCTGACTCAAAATGAACACATATATATCATAGATACAGCCTAAAGATGTACACATTTACTTAGAAATACAGCTCAATATATTTTGCCAGCTTCACTGGCTAGTAAAGAGGTTCGCAGCCATGAGCTGTTTGGAACCAAGCCGCTTGCTGGCTGATTGCATGGAATCATACTGCCCCCGCTCCCCTGTCTGAAATAATGGGAATAGTAGATCTTACCCTGTGTAGGCTGCAGATTGTAGCCTATGCAGGTATGTCTTAAAAGTTACTTTACTTTTCAATGCCTGAATTATAATCCTAAATATCACTGAAATTTATTAAAACCGATTACACTTGACTGAAACGAGGCCTCTAAGTTTAGGACTGCAAATATGCTTAAATTTACCTTTAAGGAGTAAAGGCATGAAAGGGATCTTTGGGGACTTCATTTTCTTGAATGCATCTCTATAGGCTTTATGGTTCAGAGAGGGATCCTGTTAAAATGATTTGACTCTATTAGGAACAGCAGTTTAAATTGGTATAAGCTTCAATATATGCAGATACAAATGTATTTACTTCTTGAAAAATAAGGCAGAAACAGTTTCTTAAAGAGAACTGAATGAAGTAATATATATTCTTATCTAAAACATATCACATTTGTGTAAAGCTAGATGTTAAGTGCAACACATCCAAAGTTAGATAATAATAGCACTTACATAATATTCTTCCATTTAGCAACAATAATACATAGATAGGGAAATTAATGACAATTTTACATAAAGTCAACTTACTGTCAAACTTTCAAGTTCAGCAAAGAGCTTCTTAAACTTTCCAGGCATTCTCTGCAATAAAATACGACATATTAAAAGACTAGAACCAGAATTAAACACTAGATTCTATCAGTAACTCATTTGTAGTATGTTAAACACAGAAACTTTCTCTGGTAATATCTTTCTTAGATTTTTTAAAACAAATGTTTATGTTTGAGAGTGACATAAAAATGTGTTCCAACCCACATGTATTATTTAATACTGTTTATAAACACCTGGATATGCATTTATTTAGTAATATCTTTAAGATTTATGTAGAAGAGAGGGGGAGGGGAAGTCATCATCAACTACATTATCACTTTTCTTGAAGAAAGAATGCTATGATCATTGATTTTATCACAGTAGCCTTCCTGGAATATTGAAAGGAAAAATCACTGATGTTATATTTATATGATAAGATCAAATGCAATTTTTCTCAACCAAAATATAAAATAAAAATGAAGATATAAATACAAGAAAACTGAAATATGCAGCAGAAATATTATGTTAGAAAACACTTGGAACTCCAGTAATCATTATGTAAGAAAATTGTCCTCTGCATCAAACTGAGTTCAATTAAGCTTTTTGAACTTATACTGGTTATACCAAATTTCGTCGTAGTAACAGTGTACAAAATTAACTAGCAATATCTCTATCTATATTAATATCTATATCTCTATCTATCATACACACACAAAAACATACATGAAAACAAATATATCTATATCTACCTACCTACCTACCTACCTACCTACCTACCTACCTACCTACCTACCTACTTATCTATATATCTATCAATAAAGGTAAAGGTTCCCCTCACACATATGTGCTAGTCATTCCCAACTCTAGGGGGCAGTGCTCATCTCCGTTTCAAAGTCAAAGAGCCAGCATTGTCCGAAGACATCTCCATGGTCATGTGGCCAGCATGACTAAATGCTGAAGGTGCATGGAATGCTGTTACCTTCCCACCATGGTGGTCTCTATTTTTCTACTTGCATTTTTACATGCTTTTGAACTGCTAGGTTGCAGAAGCTGGGACAAGTACATAATGGGAGTTCCCTCCATTACGCACCGAACTGCTGAAAGGTTTTGTCGTATAACTTCCCAGGAATTAACATTTGTTAAATGGATAGAATTTTCCATGGTAGTTCCATGTCATGCAACTCATACTGAAAGAAAAACAACCTAAAGCCATTATCAGCTTCTTAAACAGTTTATAAATTTTGTTTTGGATTTATTTTCCTAAAATGGTATTTCTTAAATCTGTTGTTTCTATATCAATATCAATGATGAGAAAGTCAAGAATACATGGTTGCACTAAAGTGCAACTTTTTCTTATATACCAAACTGCTGAAAAATATGATTAAAAATAATTATCTAGGGGAAAAAATAAAGCAATAAAATTCTCATATTACCTCCCATGTCTGAGAAAGCCGGCTGATAGATGCAGTGTTGAGCCCCATGACAATGGCAAAAAATGAATTCAGATTTCGCTGGGCTTTGCAGCTATGAAATAATATCAGAAAAGTAATTTACTTGTGGTATTCAAAGTCACTTAACACTGTTGTTTAAAATAAAGTGCTGAATTTATATATATATTTTCAGATAAAATGTACGCAAAGTTATTATTTTCTAAACTTTGTAAACCTGAGGGATTTTTAAAAAAGAAAATACTGCTCTATTCTTTAAAAATCACCCCCTAATTTTGATAATTCCAAACTATGCAAATTCAAAATTCAAATTTATGGGAATTTGCAAAAGAAAGAACAGTTTTTTCTCCTGACTGCCAGTTGTAAATCTGCAATTTCTTCTTAGAGGTATACATAATTACACAGAAACACACACATCCCACACTCACAGATCCTGGCAAATTATTATTCCTTACTGCACAAATGTCCCAGCAAGCCTGGGGTTGAGTTCCCCCCCCCCCCACTCGAATTTGCTGTGCTTGCTGTGCTTTTTTAAACTGTTGTATCACTGTCCTGTTTGTCTTACTTTCTGTATTTGTTTTTCCCCTTCCCCTGGTTTTTGTTCAGCCGCCCTGAGTTCCTTCGGGGAATAGGGCGGCTTACAAATCGAATAAATACCAATACCAATACCAAATTGGATTTATCTAAATTAAATCTTTATCCAATCTTACCTGCACAAAGCTTTCCAATGTTAAGGATATTCCTGTGTTTTACAGTCTTTAATATACAGTATTTTATAGCTTCATGTTGAAAAATTAATTAATGTGCAACCAATATATTCTAGTGGATTATTAGATATTATTGATTAAAATCACATGATCAGACAAGTACTTTTCTGATAGAGGTAGTCCTCGACCTACAACCACAACTGAGCCCAATCACACTTGGCCAACAAAGAATTTTATGCTGTGCTGTGCTGTGCTGTGCTGTGCTGTGCTGTGCTGTGCTGTGCTGTGCTGTGCTGTGCTGTGCTCTGCTCTGCTATTTCCACAATGAAGGATGGTGGTAGCAGCATTATGCTTTGATGCTGCTTTTCTTCAGCTGGAACTAGGGCTTTAGTCAAGATGGAGGGAATTAAGCCCTGAAGATGAAGAGGACATTTTCCTTTCAATATGATAATAACCCAGTAACCCATATAAAAGAATGGCTTCACCAGAAGAAGATCAAAGTTTGGAAAGGGGCTAGCCAGAGCCCAGACCTGAATCCAATTGAAAATCTGTGAGGTGACCTATAAGAGCTGTGCGCAGGAGATTCTCTCACAATCTGACAGATCTGGAAAACTTTTGTAAGGAAGAGTAGGTAAAAATTCCTAAGGAAAGGCATGCCATGCTGATAGGCTCCTACCCCAAAAGACTGGATTTGTCATAAAAACAAAAGGTGCTTCAATAAAGTATTAATTTAAGGATATGCACACTTACGCAACCACAATATTGTAAGATTTTTTTGTTACTTTTCCTCCCAAGAGATTTTGATTTGTTTTTAAATTGAATTGTGTAATTTATATTAGACGTGGAAAAAATTCTGAAGCGGTTTATTTTGATCTGATTTTTTTATATTATAAAAACCTGGCATTTTAACAGGGGGTATAGAGATTTTTTTTTATATCCACTGTATATAACTGAAATATGTCATGGAGAAATTAAATTAAATTAATATACTTTTAATAATAGCTGGTAGTTCAGTAGGACTTTCCTTAGCATCACTATGTATACAAAAATAGAGTTCCAAACAGAGAAGCAATTGGGGAAATAAATCATGTATATGTAGGCAAATGAAACTACAGTGAAGCTTGAAGGAATTATCACTATTCAGCAAATTTTGGATATAGCACATAATTATTTAATCAAGCATTGCATGTTTTAATGGACAAAGTCAAACATGTAGAATATTTTCTTTCATTACCCCTTGTTAAGTGAATTCAACAGGAACCAGCTATCAATATTCATTTAATTTTTAACTTACTGAGCAGCAATTTTAATGAACTTTTTCACTAGTTGTACACGTTTACAAAGCTGGTTGCAGAGTAGTATTTCTGTGGCAACCCAAAGTTGAACTTCATTGCATCTTTGAAGCAGAAGACTAAGATTCACGGTGTTTTTCCCATTGCCTTGTCGGCTGAAGGTGAAATATATCAGTTCTTGCTGGAAGACAGTTTAAAAGAATGTAAAATGCAAATTAGAATTTAATAATCTGAAAAATGTAATTATTGTTGCTTGGTCAGATAACCCATATTACTTACTAACTTGAACAAATCTATAGTGATTCAGTAAAGTATTTTTGCAATTACTCTTTTAATTAAAACTATAAAAAATGTAATAAATGTAATAACCAGATTGTTTGTTACTTAATACTATTAATCATTGCCAGTTTCAGTTTGAAAAGCTTTTGAGAACGGGATTAAATTTATTTTTCTTTTTTTGTAAAAGACGTAACAGAAGGGTTCCCAATTCTTGGGCCGTGCCCCCCAGAAGCCATTCAGGACCGGGCTGTGGAAATGGTGAGAAAGCCTGCGCACATCCCCACTCACACAAGCAGCGGGTGAGTGTGTGCTCGCCATTTGCACGAGCAGCAGGTGCATGTGCCGTACAAATGGAATTTTGTGCACGTGCACACTTCTACATTACACAGACAGAACCATGCCATTGTCCTCCATCACCACCCCCGCAGCCAGTCCACAAAGCTGAAAACGTTAGTGAACTCTGAAGTAAAAGCTGCATTTGGCAATAAGCCTGTGGAATGACCCAAAATAATGACAAAGAAATAATTACATTAGAAAACATGTTGTGATTCATCAAAGCTAAACAAAACAAGTGTATACAATAGTTAGCATGCAGATTCATTATCTTACTTCATGAACCAAATTGAAAAGATTCCAGTCAAAAACTGTCAATTCTAAAGCAAGGTCCCAGGTGTTAATCCCCAGAATTTTCACCGATCGTTGTTGGATTTCTTCATTTTCAGTAAAAGGGATCTAAATCAAGAGATACATTAAAAAAGAAGCATATACAATTCAAAATTAGTTGCAAAGAAATGTTTTAAATATTTTTGCATTGAAATCATTATGGTCTCTAATTAATTTTAATATTAAGAGCGGTAGATAAATATCTATATTTGCCACTATATAAATATAAACAAAAAATAGTAATCAATAGGATAAATGAGAACCATTTTGAAGCAAACATCTCAAATTTGTCATACCAATAAAATTTTACTACAAGTAAATTATAAATTGTTTTTCTAAGACCTAAACAAGCTGTATTAATAGTATTCTGTTTTCTATTACTATATAATTAATCATGTGCCTTGGTTCTGCATCGGAAATATATCCCACTAAATTCAGTTGAATGTAATTCACAGTAAATCTGTAACAACATTAAAATGCCAAGGATGACTCAGAATCTCCATTAATATTTCCTTCAATACAGTTACAATAACATTTTTTGCAATGTGGAATTCCAGAATGATATAGGGCAACTAGTTAATCTGAATTATCATATACCACTATATAAGGGGAGTCAAACTTGATTTTATTGAGAGCCACATCAGGGCTGTGTTTGACCTTCGGGGCAGGATGGGAGTGACTATGGTGGGCGTGGTCACCTTGATGTCGGGGGCTCCTGTGATGGCCTGAGCACTTTGCCAGAGGAAATAGGCTCCTGAGCTATGTTTTCAGATGCAGTAGCCTCCTGCAACCTTCTGCCAGTGAAAACGGAGCTCGGGAGGGCTGTCCATTTTCACTGGCAGAAGCACTGCGGGCCAGTCTTTCACTGTTTCCAGGGCAGCCCTACAGGCCAGATCTAAGCACCTCATGGGTCAGATCCAGCCCTTAGGCCCTGAGTTTGACACATCTGCATTATATCATAGGCTTTAAAGCAAACTTTTCAGTAATATTAAAAAAATACATTTCTTCATATAAACTATCATTTTATATTAATAAAGATTTGATAAATTCATCTTAAACCTTCATATATTTTCTTAATTGGTAACAGATTTTCTTGATTATAAATACTTCAGGAAAATAGAGAGTCTGAATTTGTGCAAATATTTTTCTAGAAATGATATAATAAGGGAGAAAGGCACCCTTGGTTCTTCCTCTGGGATCTTTAGGTTCTGTGATAATCCATCTCTATAGCTGAATAGTGAGAGGCAAAGGAGGTATTCTTGCTTCCACTTTAGTCCCTGTCCTTTACATACATCAATTTCTACATAGACCTTTCGGAAATCCTCAACTTATCTGGCTAAATATAGTGGCAAAACAACAAGTAAAAGACCTTTGGGATTCAATAGCTCAGCCAAGTAGAAATGAATGATAGAGGCCAACTAGTTAATTCCAGGATTGAAATAAAATCAACTTTATTAAGGTTACCAAAAGGTAACACACACAATACACATTTTAAAAAGATAATATATAGAAGAATCCTAATGCAATTCAAATTATAGCTAAATAACTTTCAACCATGCCTGGGGTCAGCAGCTTCCCACTTCCCACATAAAACCTGACAGAACTCCGTTTCTTCCTTAACTGGAGATTCCTGGCAGTGATTCACTATGAACCCCTAAGACTAGTTGGAAGTTTAAAGCACCAGCTGTTCCCCACCACATATGCATGTCACATATGAATAGAATAAGATATCTCGTTATCTAAAACATTGTCTATCCAAATCCAAACATTTTCACTGTTTAACTGTTGAAACCTCCAGCTCTCCAAAATGAATTCCCCACGTATTTGTATTTTGTATTTGTATTTATTGAGTATTTGTATGCCGCCCTTTTCCCTGAGGGGACTCAGGGCGGCACACAACAATCAGGGGAAGGGAGTGCAAGACAAGACTTAAAAAGAAAAAAAGAAAAAAAAATCGTGAATAAAAGAAAATTATCCATAAAACACGACATTCACTCAACATTCGGGCGGGGTG